TCTCCGGAATGTAGGAACTTCCATCTGGTAACAGTACACTGTGGATCAATGTCGTAGTTTCATGAATTAAGTTTACACAGTGTTCGTCTTGGCTCAGATTTTTAGATTGTGATCTTGTGGGCTCTAAACCTTCAGAAATAATAACGCTAGTAGTAGACTCACTTGTGCAGCCATAAGGAATGTTTTCATCAAGTTTCAAAGCCAATCCTAATATTTCAGCTGCCCGTGTTTTCCTACGTCGATCTTGATTGATATTCATCTGTAAAAAAATTTGCATTTAGGTACTACTTTGAGATTTTACTTGAAAATTCAATGCTTTAAACATTGCTTGTTACGTAAATATAACTATTAGGGGATCGAAAATAATCTTTATTATAATTTATCATATAAAAGCAAAATGTTTTGTTTCCAATGTTAGTTAAAACGTACTTTAATATTAATAGCTGCATTTTTCTGTTCTTAAACAGCTTTTCATTATGACAAAATATCCAATATGCCCGTTTTTTGCGCCGCCTATGTACTACGAACACCTTAAGTAATTTTAATTATTTTTGTGGAAAGATCTGCTATCTACATTTCAATTTACTAAAACTCCCTTTGGTGGTTGTGTGTACATTTTTAACTATAACTGTATTATAAGCCTTGAATATGTAACTATCATCTTAACTTAAAATTAATTTATAAGAACTTTAACACACAAAAACATGAGTTAAATTGAGGTTAGGTATTTATTTTTTGTACAAAGTCTTACTTAGGCTGTTAATTTTAGTTGTAAAACACTCCTTACCTTTTGATAACACCAGACACACACGTAAATACAATATTGTACGGCAGAAGAACTAAATAAGATACAAAAAACGAATAATACCGGGAAACTGTTGATAGGCGGTACAACTAACAAACAACAACCACAAATGAGTAGATAGAAGGTATTTCTGCTATTCAGTTAGAAGGTATTTCCAGCATAAAAAACGCTGATTAAGGTAGGATATATTTCCATGATGTTATTTTAAATACTTTGAGAATAGATACAGTTAGGATATTTTGTTAGAAGATGCGTAACAAGCTTTGCAGTTAGATGGTGCGATAAACTCATTTTTGAAAAAAATGTTAGATAGGAGGTATTGGTACTTAACGGTCGATATAATTGTAGCTAACCCATATTTACATACCGATATTTGTACTTACTTCAAATTGATTTGCTTCAAGAATTTATATAATAATGGACGACACATATTTTGGAAGATCTGAGCGGTTGTTGATTTCACTTAAAATTTTACCTAAAGTGATCAATGTCATTCTTGAAAAAGAAGCTGTATACTATCTGTCGTATAGATGTTTTAACTCTTTCATCCTATGTTGCAAGAATATAAGCTCGACCTTCAATATTTTTAGGACATTTCATTGCTCCAGTCTGCTTATATTCTTTAATTGTTCGGTAATAGTTGAATTCGAAACACCTAAAATTAGCGCATTACTTTAGTAAGTATTGATTTTAATAATAACTATTCTGTAAAACTAACCTGCTGCCTATTTTATTTTTACTACCGTGGCTGTTATTTTTATTCCACAATTATCAATTTTCGTGTTTGTACATGTTTATATTACATTATTTCTCATTTGATGATAAATGACCCAAATCTACTCGGCGTTTTTAAGGTGAAGAAGAATAATTACCACTAGTACTTGGCTTTGAATCCATTTTGTTATCTTAAATGCAAACGAAAAATCTAAATATGTAAGAAATAACACAGAAAATAAAAAAATTGTCGATATAAATTTTGAATTTTAAAATTTCACAAATGTCATTAGTGTCAATATGTTATAATTTAGTGGAGTAAACTTGCCTGCGCTTGGACCAATTACAAACAAGCATTATGGCGCGGAAAATTTGAATTACTCCTCCTGGTTTAAAAACAGACCATAAATCAACTGAACTAAACCAGTTGTCGCCAGTTACATTTCTATTAGTATTGTAAAGATGTTTGACCAATCTTATAACTGCTTGAGTAAGTATGCTCATTCTTCTTTCTTCATTTGTGAGGCTAAATCCATCTGAACCTTTCCCAGCATAAATTTAAGTATTATGTAAATACCCAGTTCGTACATCAGTCATACATAAGATTTTTATCCCATATTTACGGGAATATACATTTTAAAGCGGCATCTGCCTCTGAAGCCTACCAGCATTTCGTCTACACACACATTTTTCCCAACCGTATATGCATCTTTTGAATTGCTTACAAATAAGTCAAAGAATTCTTGAATAGCAGCAGCTGAATTATCCCTTGCTCTTTGTTCTCGGTCCGAGGCATCGTCAAACCTTAAGGCGGCCATCAGGGTCAAGAAACGCTTCTGCGACATAACTGCTCTAAATATACAGCGTCCTTTCCCGTTCGTAGCAAACATATTTCGTACATCCTCATGATTTGACTTATAAACAGAAGTATAAAGAAGCAATCCCAAGAAAGCTCTCAATTCTATTTTATTAGTATCAGCCAACTCGGATTTGTCTTTTTTATATTGTTGATATTTTGGCCGAAAAGTTGCGAGGTTTTCGTTAGTTCTCTAGAAGAGATTACAAGACTGTACTGTACATATCTGGTGAAAACAATTTATTAAAATAATAAACGGGACTCATTAACTTTTCTACTTTTGAACGGATTGATGGGAATAAAACAATATTGTGAGAAGGAGGACGGACGTTGCTAGTTGGCTCCTTAGTCCACTTATACCTATTCTTTCCATAGTAATAATTGCTGCAATTGACACACTCTTCTTCATCTTCGCTAGATATAATTTCTGAGTCTTGTTGCTGTTTTTTTTCACTTAGTTCTTGTTCACTGTCCGTAAAATGATCACTTTCTATATAATATCCTTCTTCCACATCATCACCACTAATGTCATTGTTCGCCTCATTATACCATTTTGTGCACACTTTTTCGAAATCATCGTCTAATACTCTTACAGCTTTACGAGAACTATCCATATTAAAATAACACTAATGGTGACCTTCGTAATCACTTTACACGAATTGGAAAGTTTTTGAGTCATAGATAGACCACATTTTTATACATTACTAATAAAACAAAAGTCATAAGTCAAAAAAGATGAATCAACCAATTCAAAATCAACGAAAAACTCATTAATGATTTCATATTGCAGTTAAAAAAAATTAATGCATGTGTTTATAATTAATAGGAATTAATAGGAAGTTTCTTTGTACTCTTCGTTAAATAAAAATACTGAAAGTGAAGTTATTTAAGAATTTTGAGTTAAAACTGTATTGCTCTAAGCAAAATATTAGAAATGAAATACTTTTTTTAGTTATGACATTATTTAGGAAATATTTTGTGTTACTACAATTTGATTTATTAATTTTTTTCTGTAGTTTACATCAGTTTTTGGACTTACAACAATTTTGGGAACTGATTCTCAGTATTTGTTAATATTGGGTTGGCAAAGTGTCCAGTTACAATCAAGCTAGAACAGTCAAAATTATATGTAATGCTAACACGATGAAATTGGCTCTTAAGTCTAGTAATAAGCTTCGAAATACTGTTTGTAGAATCTCTAAAGATCACACTAAGATGGAACAAGGCAGCCAAAAAGGAACTAGAGGAAAGGAAATCTGCTGTTGATGAAAATCTATGCATTAGATACCACAGTGGTGTTCCTAAAGTTTGTGAAATTAAACTACAAAAAAACTAGTATCCTTCCCATTAACAGTTTTTTATCAAAATGTTGGAGGCATTCTTACAAAGATTTCCGAGATCTTGAAAAATATTTCCTGTTGCTTGTACAATATAATTATTTTATTGGAGAGTAACTTGAATGATTACATAACTGTTTGTGAAATGAAATATGATGGTTTTATTATCTACAGATGTGATAGATCCCAGAAAAGCAGTGCAAAGTTGAGTGGCGGTGATGTACTCTTTGTTAACAAGTTAAAATCACAAACCATTAGTATTCGTGAAGATCGGTTTGAGAAAATATATATCTTATGTAAACTTAATGAAGTCAAATTTGTGGTCGTTGGTGTTTACGTACCTCCACAATTACCTCACGAAGTATACCACTGGCATTGTCAAACCGTGGAAAATTTTTGTCTGCAATTCTCGATCACAGGATATCTATGTTTTCAGTGATTATAATCATCTTCGGTTCTTACAATCTCCAGTTCCACAGTACGTTGTTTGCCATGTTTCCACCTAATTTATCTTGTATTAAACCACACTCTGTTTTTTTTTATAGAGCTGTAGCAATGTATCGATCGTTTATAGCAAGAGTACTTTTTTAAAATGTTTTGCAAACTCTAATGTGAATGTTGTTTACTGTACAATTAAATCCACTGTTCAGTTTATAAAAAATTTGCATTGAAGAATATCTGTATTTTGGTTTAATTTCTATAGTATGTCTAATAATGAATTCTCTTTGTGTTGGTAAGTCTCCCAAACTCCAATACGTATTAAAAATGTCTTGTCTTGATGTTTTGTTTATTCGTTAACTACAGTTTAAACTGCATTTTTAGCCACAAGTTGAACCCATTTTCCTTGCAGATACTGCTTTTTTGTTCACAGATTCATACATTTTGTCAGTATTGCGCAGTCGTTTGGCTACATTTGTGTTTCCAAGTTTCAATATTATGTACCCTCATTTTTGCCCTTAGTATTAGTTTTTCTCTTCTGAAGAAACTTTTGATTCGTTAGTTAACCCACTAGTTCCAGCAGAAGGACATAAATTATCCACAACTCCATCATCCGAGCTATGGGTAGAAGAGCTACTTGATTTTTATTGTTGAAACTTGAAGCAAACTATAGGTTTTACTTTGCACACTAGGAACGAAATGCGGATCTCAGTTGGAATCATCAGAATCAAAGTCACTCTAGTATGAGTGAATCAGTGAAATCATAAAATCAAACATATAATTTCCCAGCTTGAAAAAAGGGCCTTACAAGAGTCCTCAGGAGCAGAAATTATTTTAAATAAAAGTAAGACAATAGAGATTGAAAATTTAATATTAACTACAATATATTACAAACTGCTGCCCTATACTAATATTAATTAGCATAGGTACATATTACTCTTCTGATGGAGTATCACTTTTCATTCCACCTCCCACTGGACCATGTCTGCGTTCCCAAATCATCCTATGTTTTTGTTTCATATAAGCATCAGTAGCATTGCCATAAGCTCCCAAGTCACCATCTGCAATAATGTTTTATAAAAATTAAAAGAAATTGAAGGGTTTACAAAAAAGTATATACTGTCACTTATATTGGGCCAATTTAACCATAATTGATATATAAGAATAGAGGCACATTTTAAAAATCTAAATAAATTCATGATTTTGTAAAACTCTAATGAAAAACACTTTAATATTAGAAGATTTTAAAAACCATGTCAAAACACAGGTTCTTAGATATAACCCTTTTGTGTGCATACTTCTTGTTATACTTACACTTGATGAACCAGTTAGTGGAAGCCTCTTGATATTGTTCCAAAAGAGGTCTACATTTCTCTATATGATCAGGAGCTTCATACAGTGTACATTCTTCAAATCGTTCCCTCATAATGTTTATTATTTCACTATCAACAAGTCTAAAAATTGATTATGTAATCATTTGTTATAATAGAAATATTAAATGACTGCCTTACTTGTCTCTTTTAAATTGGATATTTGCTTCTGAAATACAAACGATATCATCAGTGTAGCACTCATCAATGGTAGGTACTCTTCTAAACTTTTGATGGTACCAAGCAGATTGTTTTTGATTAGGTTCTACGACCTTTTCTGAAAGGCAATATGATTATTAATATCGCTGATTTCTACAATTAAATACTGCATACATTTTAATGTATTTTGTATTTAGTTAATTTACTACATTTTTACAGTAAAATATTTTTAGGTTAAGTAATTTTCTCACCTCTCACCCATATAGCTGGGGCTTCTAATGTGTTCGCCACAGCAAATACGAATTTTTCAATTATATTTCGGGGGGCTACGTCCTCTGGCATGTTTACAAATATAAGGGCTTTATTTGATAGCCTTCTTTATTGAATTAATTATTTGTCAAACTCAAATTCACATCACCACCAGCTGATTTTAATATAAGTTGTAAGCTGAGCTGATGTCTATTTAAATAATCATTTGTTGGAATATTGGAAAGAAGAAAAAATCTTCTCTCTTATGCTTATGTAATATTGACCTTTACTAGTTAGGCAACCAAAAATACAGCATTTAGGGACTCGTAAAAGACCGATCTCAAAGCAAAAAAATATAAATCTGAAAATAAATGCTTTTGTGATAGAGTAGGCTTTTATGGCCAACGTAATTGTCTCTAGACCCTGTCTATGTAATTACTGGTAAGATACAACAATTGAAAACTTTTGCCTTGAGATTTATATGGGAATATTATTGTTCCTGAGGATAATTCTAAAAAAACTTAATAGTCAAGTGAGCCAGTTGAAGATCTCTCAAACAACACATCACATTGATGCAGACTTAGTTTATAGATGTAAGCAGTTGGATAAAGAGAAGGCCAAGCAGGTCGTCTCATTGTCTGTTACACTTTCGATCTTCACCAGTGCCTGCCAACGCTTTTTTTTTGGAAATTTCTGTTTCTTTTTATAAGAGAAAGTACTGGACTTACAATTTAACTGTAGGGGACGCCGGATGGTGGTACACAGTAAGACGACCAATTTAAATTCAAAAGTTTTTTCCGTTTGCTTCGCCAATCTGCTTAAGGAGAGCTATTACATCATATGTCACTACTATTCTTATTTTTGCAATATAACGTATAGTGTAAATGTGTTTAACTAAAACGTGTTTTTGATAGTATAAAGTTGCATTTAAATCAATATTTAGATGAATATTTTGCTGAAACTATAAGCAGTTATTGAGTGGTCTCAGCTGAATATTGGTGCATCAGGTGTTGTGAACAAGGTACATTGTTGTTCATAACTTATAACTTGTTGTACTTTTTCAGAATGGCAAATTTCAATATAACGTCCAACAGTACACAATGAGACAAGCATTACTGGTATAGGCTGTGTACCACAACTGAATATTAATACAATTACCTGAATATCACGATACCGTTTTTGTTGCAGATGCCTAGAAAACAGAATGTTACACGCAAAATTGGCAAGACGTCTTCTGAAGCAGATGTCCAATGCTGTTAATGTTGTCATTAATGGAATATGTTTATTAAGACAAGCCGCACAATAATTTGATGTCAAATTTCAAACCCTTCAGAGATATGTGCAGAAGAAAAGAAATAATCCTGAAAATTTACCAATTATTATGCAACCAATTTATTCGGTGAACAAAACGTTTACAGATGAACAAGAAGATATTCTGTGTAACTACATTAAAACTTGCAGTAATATGGAGTAAGGCCTAACCACCGTAGCTGTAAGACGCATCGCATTTGATGTAGCTGAAGTAAACAAATTGAAGGTACCAAAATCATGGACAGAACGTAGAAAGGTCGGTATCAACTGGCTTTGTGCATTTATGAAAAGAAAAAAGTTGAGCATACTACAACCTGAGGCATGTAGTTTGGCACGTTTAACTTCTTTCAACTGACACAACGTTCAGCTGTTTTTTGATAATCTTCAAAACATGCTAAAAAAATATCTATTCTATTTTAATTGAGAGTATATCATGTATTTTTAATCTTGATGAGACTAGCACAAAAACTGTCCACGACCCCAAAAAAATTGTGACTGAAAAAGGCATTAAACAAGTAAATAGCTGCACTAGTGGTGAACATGGTGTACTATCATAGATAAATAATATAGTATATACAGAGTGTACTATGACCACCAGCGTTGTATAATATTCGCCCTTGACACATACTGTCTACCATGATACTATGAATAACAAGATAGGATCTTCCCGTAGCTCAAAATCGGTCGGGTTCGCGCATGCCGTCGTTGAAGACTAGAATTTGAATTCTTGTTAAAGTTAAATGAGATTTGTATGCATTCTGTGATTAAATTACTAGACGAAAATAAGTTAGAAGGTTTAATAATTACAATAATCGTACACATAAGGATATCTCCAAACTATTTATTAAAGATTATTTATTGATATATACAAAAACTGACATTTCGAACGTGCAAGTCTCCAATGACGTCACAAAAACATGCGCAATATCTTATTCGCTGTGAGCCGATGAGTAGAGGGGATTTGACAGTTTTCACCAACGCTGTTAGTGGCAGTTTTGTGCATTTAACTTGTAAATATTTAAATAATAGCGAATATGGATTTTACAAAAAGAAAAAGATATGATATATGTAAAAATACTGGGTATAACAGTCATTGTAAATTTTATTCATTTCCTTTTGCCAAGCATAAAATAGTTAAAAAAAAAATGGATTATTGCTATCAATAAGAAAAATAAGTAAATAACCTATAATATAAACAACATATTTGTATGGTGTAAAATAAAAAAGCTATTATATTCCGAAACATTGCGTACATGCCCTGCATCAACTAAATGTTTCCCCTTTTTTGGTGTAGCTGGTTGAAATGGGATATCATTGATATAGACTTAAAACCAGTATAATGTTTAATATCCCTTTTGATAAAATTAAAACAAATTTATATCTGACACACAAAAAATAACTGAGCAAAAACAGAATAAAAATGCAAAATAAAAACAAGAATTTCAACGTTACAGAGGTAAAGGTAACCATTAACCAAAAGAATATAGACGCTTAAGCGTCTATATTCTTTGCTTTAACCCATGATACTGAAGATAAATTAGTGCGCATAAGTCGTGACGTCATTGGAGAGTTTGACGTTCGAAATGTCAGTTTTTTGTATGTATCAATAAATAATCTTTAATAAATAGTTTGGAGATATTCTTATGTGTACGATTATTGTAATTACTAAACCTCTTAACTTATTTTCTAGTAATTTCATTACAGAATGCATACAAATCCCATTTAACTTTAACAAGAATTCAAATTCTACTCTCCAATGACGACATGCGCGAACACGACCTATTTTGTGCTTCGGGAAGATCCTATCTTGTTATTATAGTATCATGCTTTAACCACAGAATAATAAACAATGTTTATTATTCTGTGCTTTAACCATTAAATATTTTCACATAAACTTCTTCTTTTTCTCAATGGCCTCTTGTGTAAGTAGTCATCCAGTCGCAGGAACTTATATCTTAAATATTATAATTATAATGAATAAAATAACAAGGCGTAATTACTTTTACTATTAATTCTGTGTATTCGTTCATTAATCAGTTTACCATGATATTTCAGTTCATTATTTTGTATTTTTAGATAAATATCTATTTTTCTCGTTTTGTCATATTTCACTTACACTGATTTTACAAGAAAAGTACAAGTTTCAAACCGCGAGAGAGCGCTACCGGCGAAACTCACAGCGAATAGTATCATCATCGAGCAAAAAGATAAAAGAGGGAATGTAAAGGTAGTGGGGACAAAAATATTGTTAGACAGGAAGTGCGATCTTTAGAGGCCACATTAAACAAGGAAAGAGAGTCTCTCTCCTTGTTTGACATCAAATTTAGTTGGGTTATGTTATTTTTTGTCCCAACTGTCACATGAAATTTTATTTATATTGAAGTTTTTTACCAATTGTGTCACTTTTTAGACTATTATCGTTAATATTTAATTAAAACTTTCTTGTCTGAAAAATATTTTCCAGCTAATTGTTAACAAGTGTTGGAAAATTTAAATTTAGCGCCTTTGCATTTCCGGATATGCCCGCCATCAGAGGCCACTTTTTTGGTCTCCTTTTCATAACGATTAGATTCCCTCTTTTATCTTTTTGCTCGATGAGTATCATGCTGTCTACCATAGATCATGCTACCATAGTGATGTTACTTTTTTACCGATGATGTTAAAACATCGATTTTTAGTTATCATTTTTCGATATTTCACCATCGATGTCAAGACATCTGAACCATCGATGGAACATCGATGTTAACAATTCGATGTTTTTTATTCCATTAAGCACCATATACCTTGCCATTAAGCAACCAGTAATACAGTATGTTGACGATAAAAATTTTTTCAGCATTAATTAGTTTTTGTTTTTATTAAGTTTATACTTCAAACTGCATATTTCTATATTTGTAGGTTTTACTAAAGACTTTTAATAAAAAACTGTATATTCGATTTAATTTTTTGAGGTTGAGTTACCTATTTTTAGTCTTTATGAAAAGTACATCGATGTTTCTAAAACATCGGTAGCATCGATATATATGTACAATAATATCGCCGATGTTTAACATCGATGTCCCATCACTAGTCTACCAGTGATGGTGTTTGCACGTAAATTCTTTAAAGAGCATATGCTTAATGGAGCACCTCGTGGTTCCTTGGGACTAGCTAACCCTTCATTTTTACAAGTATTAAAACATTTAATCAAATACAGAAGCAGTTCCAAAGAAAATCCATCGCTGTTAATATCTGGTAACCACGAGAGCCACGCCGCAGTGTAAGTAATCATAAAGGCTCGAGAAGCAGGTGTCCATATTTTGACTTACGCCCTTAGATGTGGCTGTCTTTGGGCCTTTCAAGGCATATTATAATGCTGTATGAGAGGCTTGGCTACTGAATCATCCAGGAGCGCCCATGGCAATATACAATATCGCTGAGTTGGTTGGTACAGCACACGATAAAGCTCTCGTACCTCAAAATATTCCGTCAGGCTTTGAAAAAACAGGTATACTCGATACCCTTCAATCCAAATGTTTTAAGAGAGAGCGACTTTCTTGGATCGGCAGTGACAGATCATTCTATGGCAATTGTAGAAGAGGAGTCCTTTAATAACGTCCTTCCGGGATCATTGGCTCTAAACTCTGTTCCTCTAGACCCAAGTCCCGAAACACCCTCTAGAACTACCAAAGAAAATAAAAATTTCACTTCACCAGATATGTTGCAAGGATATCCTAATGCCAAGGATATGTCAATATCTGCAAAATATTGAGCTTATATGGACTAAAATAAAAAAACCAAGTGGCAAGAGAAAACTTGAGTTTTAAAATGGAGGAGGTGAAATGCTTGTTAGCTACTGCCATACAAAATGTCACACCTGGGTCTTGAAAAAATTGTATAAGACACACTATAAAAGAAGAAGATATAATGTGGGACTTAGACACAAGAGTGGACATTTCGGTTGAACCATTAATTATCAATGTAAATAATAGTTACACAATAAAATTCACTAAGTTATATTATTAAATCACATTTATTAAGTTTCATTATCTACATTAAATTTACACATAACTAATGAATTAAAAATCACAAACGGTAAGTTGAATAAGTCACTTCTTATATTTTGATACAGAATCAGGCAATCTGAGTATCACGCGATTTTATAAACATCGAATATCAAAACGTTTTAGTCGGTAAACATTCTTACGAAAAACACTGGAGTAGAAACTTCTGAAATATATATTATGCTTAAAAAAGTGTACCATAGTGCAAATAAAGATAAGCTACATATTTAATTGAGTTACTCAACCATTCATTTGTGTTCATTAACAAAAATATAACAAGATTCAATCGATTCAGTCAAGCCTTACACCGAAAATTACACTAATTATATTCTATCGTAGGTTTCTGCCGTTGTTACAAAATTAGGCTTACAACCTGAGAGCAAAAATATCAATCCATCCTGAAACATAAATACAAAATTATTGTACAAAATAGTTAGCACTCAACAATCTAGAATATATAAGTAATATGTGAACAAGTGTCCAAAACTCTGGAAACTTTACAAACATTGTTTTTCCAGTCACACTCGTCTCATGATTGTGATTTATATAGTTTATATTAATTCCTATAATATGAATGAAATGAAAACAATGTGCAAAGATTTAGCGGATTTACTGTGTATATAATTACATAGTAGTTATTTAATAAAATATGGAAACAGATTCAAGTGAAACACTGGCAACACTGTATCGCGTTAAAGTTTCTTAGTGTTTTGATCAACAATTGCTGGACACGCTGTATTATCTCCATAATTGAATCAATCAATAGAAAAAAAAAATATATTACTAAATAACTGTAAAAGGATTTCATTTTATATGAAGACTTTTTTGAAGGGGTCGAATCCAGAAGATGACTAGACGACAACCGAGCTCTAAGAGCCTCTTAAAAAGAAGACAATATACAAGTTTTCCAATGTCTCATTTATATAAAAGCTATTTGACAAACGCGAAATATCAGAAGAGATTACAGTCGAAAAGGAGACCATTGGACTATTTATGAAGTGACAGGTGGCGCCATTTTTAAATAACGAAAATAGAAAAATAAACGCTTGACGTCAGAGTGGGAGAAGACTACAATTTTAATGAGATCCAAAATTTTCCGGGGAAACAAATACCCCCTACTGTGCTGTAGTCTCGATATAAATCCAATATAAAAAATGTTCCTGTGATCTCTAAATCCTATTAGGCGTAGCATAGAAGCATCATCTATTATTCGAAGTCATTTCAAACAGATAATTTGCAATTCTTAGGGAATGCATGGATTGAGAGGAAATGCCCTTACCAGCCTAAGCTAGTGCTTAGGTGGGAAATAAAATCACAACCACAGACTAACAGATGCCCTCAAGCTGCAGTGAAAGCAAATTTTGCCTAGGAAAAGTTCTACAAACATTAAAAACAAAATATGAAAATATAGAGTTTACTACTGATTCTCAAGAGATATAAATATATATATATATATATATATATATATATATATATATATATATATATATATATATATATATATATATATATATGGACGGCCTCAGTGCAAAAGGTAACATGTCAAATTACTTGGTTTTGAGGAAACGAAAAAAACGATTCTTGGGTTTTTTTTCGGATAAGTTTTTTCATATTTTTTCAGAAAACAATACAAAATAGTGGTTATTATTGAAAAATTTTATAGCTGAACTTTCAATTGCAAAATGCACAATATTTTCCTTACTTGTTCCACAGACTTACTCAGGTACTATTTCTTTTTTTTTAGCAGCTTCAAGGCACAAAAATACATTAAATTTATTACAAAAACTTTATTAATAAAAAAGGTATATCTAACGTGTATGTATTATTATAAAAAATGGTAAATAAAAAAATGCTAGTCCTCTTCGTCACTTATTAAAGGATCGAACAAAACACCTTGGGCTGGTAGATCTTGATAAAATTTAGGATACACCGGAGAGAGGTACAGAAATATTGACAAAATGTCTCTTTTTTTCCAATGATAGTGGCAGTGGTTGTTGGTAAGCCTGATTTTTTTGTAAATGATAATTCTGTTTTCAACAGGTTTTTAACCTGTGCATGAGTCGCTGTACAAAACGACATGTGAAATATTTTTCTCTATTTGGTGGAGTCCATGGAACATACAAGAAGCAATCTCGTTTCCTCCTCTTTTTGCCATACTCTCATACCACAGAAAACATGAAGCGACTCCTGTTTTCATGTTGTGCATGGACAGATTAAATGTTCATAATTGTCGTTTACAGAAAGCCCCTGATGTTTGCACAAGTGAAGTTCCCAAGTGAAGTAACCCAAGCACGCTTGTAAATCAAATGCAATTGAAGTAAAGTTTGGGTTATTCTGACTCTGCTGCTTGTCTGCCAACTTCATTGCATAAGTTAATAAAACTTTCATGTGATGATTCTTCCTACTTTCCAGTAACAATTATTCCTTCTCGATAGTTTGAGCGTATGAAAATTTTATTTTAATTTCGTCACGTGTATGAGAAGTACCCTTTTTAGGATTTTTATTTTTATTCCGGAGTTACGAAAGGCGTTGCCATAAATAGTTAAACTGACTGGGTCATCTACTTCTTGTTTATATTTACTGTAAACTTCCTCCGGCGTGTAGTGAGGTGGTAAATATTTTTTAGTAGTCTTTTTACGACAGTAATAACTCTCATATGCTGGAAGAGATGTAAGGTGCTAATGCACCAAAGCCATTCTGTCTGTAGATATTTTATGTCCAAGGATATGATTACCTCGTTCATCTGGGGTGGTTGTTGAAGCATGGAAAGCCTTTTTTGTTGGACAATAGTCCATACAAATTTTATTGTCTCGCCAAATATTGTGAGAAAACAGCTCTTACAGACATCGATCCCTTGGCCCTGAATCAGAATATTGTAATGAACTAAAGTTATTCTTTTCTTCTAGTTTCTAGGCATATTTTGTCGCGTTCTTTAACCCTGGTTCAGGTTATCATCTTTACTTAAGAGACCGCACAGATAGGCTGCCCTTCGAAATTGTGTCTTTAAATTCCACAAGGCAGTGAAAATATTTTTTTGATTGTCAAGTGAAATTTTCCCACTCCACTTTTTTCTGCAGGAGGGCAGTGGTAGCTAAATTCGGCCCAGCAACTTTCATACCTTGCCCCGTAAAATAAGTTAATCCTTGATTTCGGGAAAACTTTTTTCTTTTTTCTCTAGTGTCACCTTTTGAGCCTCTCATTTTAACTTTTTCTTGGGGTTGATTTTCGTCTACATTTATTACATCATTGACGATCTGAGGAAGTAAGACTTAAGCACAAAAGTAACCTCCAACAATACGTAACCTTTGCATTGCACCAAGCACATGTCCATAGCATACTCCCACCAAGGTTGAATTAATCTATGCACATGTCATTGCGGACAGGGTTGCCAGAGTAGTAGTGTCTTAAACAAGGACGGACAAAAGATACCAAACCAAACCAAAATGTACTGTTACTAACTGGAAACATGACATCCAGGCAGTGTTTGGTGAATTCAAATACTGTAAAGAAGGTAACAATTCCACTTATTTCCTTTTGCACAAATGAAGTTTTTCATATTATTTAACTTATTACGTTCTACACGTAAAAAAAATGTAGCCTTTCTGTGGTAGTAGACTTGTTTCTTTTTGCACAGAGTTAGACATTGGTAAACCAATTATTATCACATGAGAAAAAAAATCCGAAAAATGACTTCTTACCTTTTGCACTGAGGCCGTCCATATATATATATATACATATATAAATAGATTTTATAACTCACCTTGACCAATCCTGGCAGATTTCTCCAGAAATCTATATTAGGGATCATTTCTACGCCTCGAGCACCTCTAATGAAGTACAGCAGAGCAGCTCCACCGACAAAGTAAACACCAGCAACGATAAAGAGAATTAACAGAAAAATTGAACCTCCGCTCATCCCATGTTCTTCGGTTTGTATGCACAGCTTGGGAGATGATAAAATTAAACTCTGAAAAAAATTCATAAAATAAAATATTAAACTGTTAATACAGTGTTACACAAATATCTTCAAGCAAGGTTCTTCCCAACTAACTAATGATTTTAAATTAGATTTTTGTTTTGTGAAAAATTGTATTGTGAAAACAATGTCTTACAAAAAGGGAAATCGGTCATAAAAATGTGTTTAATTAGATTATGTATTTTGAGGATGACTTACCTGTTTTTGTAGATCAGTGATCTTAAGATATGGTTCTTTATATCTGTTGCACAGTAGTGTTATTATAGCTAGAGGATCAGAGCTAAAAACGAAAACGTGTTAAGAATCTATAGTATAAAGAAACAGAAAGTGATCAAAAGAAAAAGACAAATAATACTTCAGGAAAGTAAGCAAACTTTAACCTTGCTCAGGTATCTGCAGTAGCCAGGTATTTACAATTAAAGAAGAATCTACTTATCCATAAACATTTTCTTTGCTAAGAAATAAAAAAGCTTTAAAGAGCATATTTTAAAAATTTATAATCTTCTAATATCAAAAAAAATTTTCATCTTTCTCTAATAAAAGTTTATACTCACTAATTGGCATATGTCAGCATATATCCATCATCGTCTTTGTTAAATCGGGCCCAATCAGATCTTCCTATAACTGTATAGTCATTTACAGAGACATTATTCTTCAAAGTTTGGTTGGTCAATATTAACTAAGAATAAAAAAAATATACATTAAAATTTACCTTTATATCATTTGCTCTTCAAAAAATGGGAAATGAAATAACAAACGTAAAAGATATTCATAAAATAAAAATAATTATGAATACGGGCAGTGCACATTAATTAATTTTGATTAAAAACATCTCAACTTCTAATATCGAACCCCCTTCTTCTAAGAAGAAGAACCCACAGTTCTTCTAAGTGTTCTGGTAGGTGTACTGTTATTATCCAATTTTATACTTTGTATAAGACTGATATTCATTGTAATATAATAAATATACATACATGTTTATTTGACTGAGTATTTGCTTTTCAAAACAATATAAACTGTTAGCTTAAGGAAAATGATAATTTTTATCACTCTGTAATTAAATAATACAATGTTATACTTATTATAAGTATCAGTGATAAAAATCCTTTGTGGCAGCACAAAATTTCAATTGTTTTAGTCAGTTTATTTAAAAATATAATTTAGTTGATAAAAACAGGATTAATTTATAACTTAATCTTTAAAAGGAACTAAAATCTACAAATTTCCAAAGATTATTTACTTCAAATGTTTATCGGCTAACATATGAAGCCACCCCCGGAAAAAGTGCCCATAAGCCTATGGGTCGTTTTTCCGCAGATCGTTTAAATCGATCCGCCATGATGTAAAGTTCATTTCGGCCAAGTTTGGCAACAATGTCTCAAACCTGTGTCATTCGATAAACAAAACATTTAACTACCATTTTACCATTTAGCGTCCGTTGTTCGTTTGCTTGTCGTTAACGTAAGTGTGTTTATTGAGAGGTAGTTAGACAAAAACTGACAAGATGTAAGAAGATTAATGTAACGCGAGAAAAAAGAAAAGTTACAAGGCAATCAGGTAAAATATACGTCACCTCGGCAGGTCACGATGTTGCAGCTAAGTCATTTCAGTTAATCATAAAATGCTGCCTGGACAAATGTTTTACCCGTTTAAGTATCAATGATCAAAAACATTTATTTCAACATTTTTATTTACAAGCAAAGCCTCAACAAGACTCTTTGCTGGCTCAGTGTATGAAAAACTTAATGTGGACCATAAACGACTCAAGAATAATCCAAAAGTTTTACGAGAATATACATGGGAATATTTCGTGTCTCAAAAGGGTGACAGAATAAAAACATGTCGGACCGAAACTTTTTCAAGTATCTGTGAACAGCATTTGTGTAGTACAAAAGAAGGTAATTGAGGGGAATTCGTTTATAGAAAAGCGAGGGATACATGCCAACAGACCCCACAAATTGGCTCCCAACATTCATGACTTGCTTAAAGAGCATTTGGAAACTACTCCGTTTAAGAAAAGTCATTATTCCCAACACAAATCCGAACTAACATATTTTGAGAATCCTGAATTAAATATTATGAAGCTGTATGAGCTTTTTGTACAATACTATAAAGAAAAGACATACACAAATCTAAAGATGAAATACAAGACATACTTTCAGTATTTTAAATCGCTGCATTCATACAGTTTCAACAATCCCAAAACAGATGTATCTGATTTCTGCACAGTAAACAAAAACTATCATTAATCTTAACGATGCATGTGCAATTTCCTATCGCCTTCACAATGTGAAAGTAAAGCGACATATAGGAATGAGAAGGAATCTGATAGAAAGAAGTAAAACTGACAGTAGTTGCCTTGTTATTGAATTTGACTATGGACAAAATCTACCAGTTCTGAAACTCAATGTAACAGTGCAGTTTTATAAATGTCTACTTTGATGTTATCTCTTTAATATACATATTCACAATGATGGGCCATCTTTTATCTATAAATTTATGGAAGGACAAGGAAAAAAAGGTGCCGATTCTGTTATTTCATTTGTCTATGACTGCTTGTGCAAAAAAATTAATGGCGATGTCACTGAAATCGTATTTTTGTCGGCAGAGGATAAAATATGAACATTTCAATGGTAAAATTTCTAGCACACAAGTTTAACATCAATATTCAACATATATTTCTGGTTCGTGGCCATTCCTTTAACCAGTGCGATCATAATTTTGGGCTGGTAAAGTCATCTTTAAAAAAGAAGGAATACATAGGGATGGCAAAGCCATATTTGGAAGCAATAGTGCATTGACGCAAAAATCTATCTACCTTTAATGTTGTCATAGACAGAACGCTAATCAAAAATTGGACTGAAAGTTTGAAAGGACTCTTTCTAAATAAGCCAAAAACAAAGGGACTTGTATTCAGCATTCAACAGTATGTACAAATGAAATACCAAAAAGACGGAACATAGGTTTGTTCTCAAACATACATGGAAAATTACATACCATTCACAATTTGGAAAGGAAGAAACATAAACACAAACATTGCTCTTCAAACTGTCCCAGTGGTTGGAATAAAGCCAGAGAAGGAAAAATATGTGAGAAATCTATTTTCGTTTTTGTCCCAAGAAGATGAACAATGGATATGCTAGATACTAGAGGAAGTTTCTGTATAACTTTGTATAATAATAACTTGTTTTAATGTTTATTTTTTATCTCATATGCCAAATAAAGATTTTCTTAAACTTATTTCATACTTTCGCAAATGATCTGTGGAAAAAGGGCCCATGAAAAGCTAATGTAAAAAAATTATATTTACATAAAAATGTGTCTATATCTTTGAAACATCTTATTGTAACTTTAGTTTAAATACAATACTTTTATTTTAGCTTTCAATAAAGTTCAAAGTTTTAATCTTTGTTTTCAAAATACTTGTTAAATTTTCAATTGCGTTTTTCTCAAAAGCGCCATTTGACATATGGGCCCTTTTTCCGGGGATGTCCTCATATATTCCATAAATTAATTAGAAAATCAACTGGGATTCAATCTCCAATGTTACATATCACTGAAATCAAGGTTTTTTTTTTCAATAAAAGGCACCTTTGGGGTTACTTTATCTACCAGCAATATCCCTAATGCAACACAGTTTTACACAGGCTTTATTGCTATTGTATTATTGGTTTGTATCTTTTTTCGAGTGCAGATTTTTCACTACCATGATATTAGTTGTATGTCAAAAGTATCTATCCTTTGATCATAATTTTTTACATTTGAAATGTCTCTTTAAAACCTCAAAATGTTGCACTTTAGACAGCATTTTCAATGTTGCAAATATGAGAAAGTAGCAGACACCAAAAATGGTGATACTTTCTTCTCATACAACCTTTTTAAAACTTACACATAATTTTTTGTTGATTGCATGACCTCTGAGCCTATTTTTAGTGTACTATACCTTCCTCTTCTATTGGTCATCCATTGTCAATGTAAGCTATTAAAATAATACAAATCACTTGCATTGGTTTTGCATTGATGAGTTTATTTGTCCATCTAGACTTTTTTTTGTCATCCACTTTTTTTTCTTGAAGGATAAGATTCTGGAGGTGATATTTGTGATGTCTTAGTCAAAAATGATCTTCATTTTTACCTGTGTATGTTTTTAAATATAAACCAAAACAACATTCCTAACTGCTGATACGGCTTAACTTTTGGCTAAACCTTTTTATGAAGGAGAACAGAATCAATTGCAAACCATTGCACCAAATGAGCAGAAAACAGGATACATTAAATCAACAATATGCAGTCAATAAAAATCTTGGAAAAGAAAGAAATTGCAAAATATGAATTAATCTATGTAAATGCAAGTACTACGAAATACTTATTGGAGAGATAGAAACAGCTGAAAACCCAGAAATATAGAATACTTTATAATACAGCTGTATAAATTACTTACAGTTCCTCTTAATGTTACTGTTTTGTTATCTGTCGGAAAGTTCTGATCTTTACAACCTAAAAATGTGTAAGTTAATTTTCCATCGGTATCGCTCAAATATTTTGGGGCCTTAATATCCTCTGAGAGTGCTGATATGTCTATTTTATCGTTTTCATTGATTTGGCAAAGGCACGGATCGTGATTAATACACGTATCTGCATTAGAGCTACATAAAAACACTACTGTGCTAAAAACTAAGAACAAACTATTGCTACAGTTAATCATTTTCTTTACATTGTCTTTACAAAAACAAAATGATAATCACTGAAATATCAACAACAGAGGTTAACTAAAAGTCTAAATATTAGTTCGTTCGTTTTTCTGATCACTCACAAGCCATTCTTTGCTTTCATGAGCGTGCATAAACCAAATCGTAAAAGGGATTTTAAATTAAAAAGAGTCAATTCATTTTGTATTATAGCGTTTATTCAATCAACGATTATAGTAAAATTATATAGTATTATACAAAAATTATAACCATTCAAATTTACGAGGTATGCACTTTCATCGTAGATAGTTTTCGTAAAAAAGGTGATGTAAAAACAACAAGAATAAACTAACAAATATTAAGTTTGTTCGTTAGTCAATAACTCAAAATATAATGTTTTGACGTTTGCTATTTTAGGTTAGGGATTTTGCAATATTGCAATCGCTTAAGTTAAGTCATTTGCAAACCAAAGAAAGGAAGTATTTTTAGTGATATCAAGTTTAAATGTAATGTAATCTCGTTCAACCCACGTAAGAATACAGTAAACACAAAATGCCTGAATTGTCACAAATTAGAAATTTCAGACTCAAGGTAAATTGCTGATATTTTGAGACGTTATCGATAATCTTATCAACTTTATTTTCAGATCCTGTTTCTGATTCATTTCATTTTTATGTCGTTAAGTACGATGGGATATTGGAGTTCCAATGCATATCTGTTTTATAACAGTTTGCTTATTGTTCTCTTCCTTTGGAGTTTGTATCATGATCAAAGTCATGAACCTATACAATTGGTATATATTTTTTATTAAATTTTTATATTAATAATTTTAAATATATTACAGAACTTTTGGTTTAACTAGATACACAGGTTCTATTAATTAAAAATATTTTACCAGAATGATAATTTAGTTTTAATAGTTAAAATTGTCATGTCCTTAACATGATTTATGCATTTATTTAAAATAATATTAAACAATGAAATGTGCAGTTTGACAGTAGATGAAGTGAAAAAATTGTCTTTAAAACGCAATAAGAATATCACTGCATTGATATAAGGCTCTTCCATTTGTTCTTTGCCGATGTATGACATTATTCACATAGTCTAAACTATAAAATTAAGCCTTACAATGAAATTAATCCTCTCGTCAATCCAGAATAGACTACATCAAATATGGACATTAATATGATTGATACCAAATTGAGTTTTTGTTTATAACTGTTTTTTCACTATAAAATTTAACTAAAATTTAACTATAAAAAACAGCAGTACCTTACTGTTTGATTTTATAGGGTAGGTACATATTTATAAGCTAACAATAAGAATAATATCAAAAGCTCTAATTATTCTAATGAATGTAAAAGCTTTTAATTAATAACCTCACATTGACAAAGTAATCTTTCTTCCACTTTGACTTTCATTAACTTCATGTTTTTTTTTTAATTAATGTAAATTAAATCTTTATTTATTATTATTAGCTACTATGATTATGTCATTGACAAATCTATATTCAGGGAACTATACATGTGCTGTAGGTTTCTATATATATCAAACATGTTCTAAATGGTTCAGATTTATAGTTTTTACTTATAGTTAATAGTGTTCTTGTAAGGTTTCTACAGACCCTCATCAGTTATATTATATTATATTGACTCCTTTTTTCTGCAGACCCTTCAATAATCTTGGTCTTGACACAGAGTCACAAGTCATCTACAAATCTCCAAATTGCATGCTTCTACCTTTGTAAGAATATGTCATCCTCTTTGTTACATATGTACTTGAACATTTCACCAGTGATTTTATAATGTCCTGTTGCTTTTCCTGTTTGAATTCTCTTTAAGGTGTTTCTTAGCTCTCCTCTTGTTATTTTTATTTCATACATTTCATTCTCACTGCATAACAGATTCTTAGGTAATTGTTTTGCAATTACTGATTCATTAGAGCAATTGAAGAGTTTAATTGCGATATGATTAAAAAATATATATCGAAAAAGTTAAAAAAATAACAAACATTAAGTCTCTAAACTATTTTGTCTAAATTTGGTGTAAATTTTAATGTTAATGGTAAATTATTGTCAATAACATAATTTTTACCTTTTAGGCAATTGTTGTAAATGGGAGTTCTATATTTTTAGATATATTAATCTTGGTAATGGGTTTTCCATCTTCTACCGATAGTAAGTATTTTCTATTAGGTTATAATATACATAATTCTAGTAAAACCTATAGAAATTATGCCAAAATGATTAAACTGATAAAAAAAGTTGCCCATAAAAAAACCAATACCGAACTAGAGTGAAATTATAAAAAAATTTGATTCCTTTACAATACAATTCAACTAAATACATGTGACTCTTGATCATTCAGCCACTCCCATCTACTATATTAAATAGCGTGGGGGAGATTATATAAAAATACAAATAAATATTGTTTGTTGTGTTACTGACATACAGTTGTTTTAGTAGGTGTGTTAGATGTTAGTTACATTTCTTTTAGTATGCTATGCTCCATATTTTATGCCACTTTACATTGTCAATTCAAGTAATCGATGAAACATAAATGAGTCTTTAGATTAAATCCTCAGACAAAAACCAATTTGTCTCAGGTTGAGAATCTGTTGTAGTGTCCAGTGAGAAATCCGCATTGTTCTTGTGGGATCTGTGCTAAGAGTATTGATTTTAGTTTCTTATTAATTATAGTAAGAAGAACTTTACTTTTGTGGGAGATTAGGGCTATGGTATGGTAGATGTTGTAATCAGCTGGTGACCTTTTGTTATATATAGGTATGAAAGTGAGCTGACACTATGCCATTTTACTATATTCTAGGTGTCATTATATAGTTTGAACATTATTTTAATCCTGATATCTCCTGTTTCTTTGAGTGCTTTCTCCGCACTTTGCCAGACATAAGGTTAGGGAATTTAATTCATCAAATAATGAGGAATTGTTGGGTTTGAAACTGTTTTCAGTTATTTATTAATATACATGTTTTATAGGTGCCAGAAATAAATTTTCAGCAGCAATGGCAATACTACATCTTATAATTCGCCCATTCAGTACAATACTGTTAATAAAGAATTTGGAAGAACGAAGTGGTGCCACAGGTGAGTATAATTTAAAAAGATATATAATTTGTTTTCTTATTTATGTCTAAACTCATATTTGGACAGTTTTCTCTTATATTTCCATATTGAATACTTGTGTATTCGCTAATTATGTTTTTTACAATCTATTGCGATGGAGCTACTTACATGCCGACTCCAGGTAGCTTGTCATAAAACAAGAATGGACTATACGAGATCTGACTATTAAATAACGAGACTGCTTATGAAAAAAAGTTTTATTTTAAAAATTATTCTACAATTCAATGCTCTCCTTCAATATATTCCCCCTCCCTCGCCACACACCGTTCCATTCGTTTTTTCCATTGGTCAAAGCAATGCTGGAAGTCTTATTTTGTTAGAGATTTTAGGAGCTCCTCCGTTTTTCGCTTCACCTCTTCCATCGACTCGAACTGGATTCCTTTTAAGGCAGACTTGATCTTCAGAAACTGGAAAAAGTAACAGGGTGCTAAATCAGGCGAATACAGAGGGGGTTTGAGCACTGGAATGCCTCTAGCGGCTAAATAACGCTTCACAGATAGCGCGTTATGGGCAGGTGCGTTGTCCCGGTGCAAGATCCACGGCTTTTTCCACAACTCCGGCCGTTTCTTACAAACTCGCTCTCACAGCGTTGCCAAAACTTTCAAATAGTAAGTTTGGTTTACAGTGCGACCCTCTGGAACCCATTCAGTCAATGCCGTTAATGTCGAAAAAAAAAAAAAAAGATTATCATGGCTTTAAATTTTGATTTTGACATCCTTGCTTTTTTCATTCTTGGCGATGCAGGAGTTTTTCAGTGTTTGTCGCTTAGTGTTTGCTTAGTTAGTTTGTCCCAAGTGATGATGTTTTCCATTAATTCAGGCTTTTCATGTAACCACTCAAGAAAATCTGAGCAGATCTGTTGACGGACGAGCTTTTGGGCAGGGGTCAAATTTTTTGGGACCAACTTCGCACAGACTTTCTTCAGTTCAATTCGTCATGTAAAACATGACAGTTTTTTTCTCAGCAATCATCCGAATGCTCATACGAGGATCTCCGAGCACAATTTCAATTATTTTGGTCACTGTTTTTGGAGTTGAAACGGAAACAGGTCAACCTGGAAGTTGGTCATCTTCAGCGCTCTCTCGGACTTGAAATCCCTCGGACAGAAAATGGTTTATACCATTCGAAAACACGCGCAAGAGATAGATAATTCTCATCATAGGCCTCTTTCAACAAATTATAGCACTCAGTTGGAGTTTTCTTTTTAATTTAACGAGAAATTTCACATTAATCCGTTGCTCATGTTTTTCGTCACACATTGTTATCGATATGAGAAAAAAACATGTTCTTTTCTAACCTCTAACAGAAAAAAAAACTACTACAGCTACAAAAACGTGTTTTCGTACTGGAAGAGTAGACACTTCCAGCTATCCAATGCTGCATTCGTTTCCCACTCTTCCCCTCTAGGACGCCCTCAGCGAGCGCGTCTCGTTATTTAATAGCCAGACCTTGTAGTTGAGTATCAATGATGTAGACACTAATTTTAGAGAAATGATAATAACATAGTCATAGAATAGCGGATTTGTTAAAGTTTCTCATAAAACATGACAACGCTGACCACTAGAAAATAACAGTTGATAACATCCACTCTAGTGTCTAGATCCCACATTCTACTTTCTTTTTTTCTAGTATGTGTAATGCAATTTTTTCATATGTAAATAATACCAAACTTGAGCAAGTTGATAAAATCGTTTACCTTGGACAGCAATTAAATTGTAACGTAGAAAGTCACGGCGAAATTAGATCTAGGATAGAGCAGACTAGAGCTGCTTTTAGAAGAATGTCCAAGGTGTTATGTAACGTAGATCTAAAATTGGCATTGATGATCCGCCTACTTTGCTGCTACGTGTTCTCGGTCTTACTTTATGGTGTCGAGACCTAAACTGTGAATAAAATCGATCTAAATCGCCTTAAGGCTTTCGAAATGTGGTGCTGTAGAAGAATTTTAAAAGTTTCCTGGGTGGAGAAAATTCGAAACTCCACAATACTAGAACGTCTCACCAAGACTACTGAGATCATAAAAAGCATCAAGCAGAGAAAGCTGGAGTATTTCGGACATGTAACGAGAGGTCCCAAATATAGGTTGCTACAAAATATCATGCAAGGAAAAATAGCAGGCAAACGCAGTCCAGGACGAAGAAGAACCTCATGGTTGAAGAACTTGGGAGATTGGTATGGTGTTGATACAAGCATTCTATTTACAGTAAATTCAACTTCAAGTTACGGACAGAATCAACACAAGTCACCGCGTGATATTCGAGTCTACACGTGACGAACGCCTTGCTATTGGCCAAATTGTCGAACGATCGTAAGTCAGGCAGTTAGCCGGAACAGGTGCGGACTTCGTTTTTCCGCTCCGTCCTCTGTCGAATGCGAAATGGCCCAGTAATTTTTGTGCAAAGTTGTTTGTTGGTTTGTTTATTTGTTAATCGTTAGCTCGTGTGTGGATAGTGCAAAGCATTTTTAAGATCATTTAATTATAGTCGATACAAACTTTTTCCCCACTTTAAAATAATTCCTGTAAGTATAATAAAGCATTTATAATATCCATAAGATAAGATATAATATCGACCTGCACTGATATGTTTAATGGATAAAAATTATTTAGTATGTTAAAAATTATGAAAAACAAGAGGTGCCCGATATAATTTTGTCCTGACTATAATTAATTTAAACTCTTTGCAGCACGAGATTTTATAAATTTTCTACAATGGACCCTTGGGACATAGAAAGATTCAATTGCACACGTAAAAAGTAAAATGACCTCATTTTTCAAGAAACAACTGATAACCATTCGCGTTTGGCCAATAACTATACCGTGGGAATTTTACCAATTAAAGATAACACTTAATAGCGACAGAGGGAATAAGTAATACAAACCACTTGCGTAGGTGTAACTTGATAAAAATAGATTAATAAGTGATTCATTTTGTGGACTACTGTACAACATGTAGCAAAAATTTGGTGGTTCAAATTTCAATCCGATGTGCCGAAAAGAGTTAAAAAATACCTTTTTTATATATTTTAAAAAAATCAACCTGGGCAGATATTGTTTTACATTTTTTGGATCATTCTAAACAAAAAATTATTTTGTAATTTTTCTTAAGTTGATCGTGTTCGAGTTATAAATAATTTAAAACTGGAAGACAAGGAAGAATTGACAGGCGAACAAGAATTGACAGACGAAGAACGATAGATGACGATTTTCAAGGATCAAAATCATTAGTAAAAAATATCACATTTACCAAAGCGGTGTAGGTAAACCTTATATCGGAACCTTTACTATAAAAGTAAATTTGAAAAGTAAAATTTGTTATTTTAGTTGAGAAAATCCATTTATTTAATATGTCTGATACGGAGTCGGCAAATGAAAATGAGGAACTGTTAACGCTAAGTCCTCCTGGGAAAAGAGCTAAGAAAAATCACGTAGATATAAGAATCAAAAAAATAATGGTAAATACATACAAATGTGAATTACAAGATAATCCTACTTTAGCGTTCCAAACACTGGAAAAAATGCTATAATTGTAATGGACAATGCCCCTTACCATTCCAGAAAATTGTAAAAAATTCCCATTATGGCTACAAAAAAGGCAGATATTCAAAATTGGCTTCGCTCAAAAGACATTCCCTTTGAAGAAACGATGTTAAAGGTGCAACTTTTAGAAATCGTTAAACAACATAAAGGCGAATATAATAAGTACATAGTAGATGAACTGGTAAGAAGCACAAATAGAATAGTTTTAAGGTTGCCACCGTATCACTGCGAGTTCAATCCAATCGGGTGCTTGTATGGGCGGAAGTCAAGAATTATGTAGCATGGCATAACACAACATTTAAATTTGCTGACATTAAAAATTTATTTTATGAAGCTGTGTCTGCTGTAACCATGAAAAAATGGAAAAACTGCGTCAAACATGTAAAAGAAGAAGTGGAGCCAAAAATGTGGGAGTTGGACAATTTAATTGACGCACAAATTGAGCCTATCATTATCAACTTTAATGATGACAGCAGTACATCAGATTCTGAAAGTTAAGATAAAATACAGTAATTTTATAAACTTTTTTTTGTATACTTTATTTTGTTGTTAATAACTCTCGACTGTGTAAATCATTTTTATATTTAAAAAATTGGTGTACTATAATCTGTACCTGTCAGACGTCTACAAATTATATAAGGTTTTGTATTCCAGCTTTAATTTACTAGTCCGGCCCTGAACAAACGCGTGTTTCCAGCGTGCATTTGTTTCCATCGTCCGTAGCTTGAAGTTGAATTTACTGTAGGGTGGCAGTGAATAAAACTAAGATAGCTATGATGGTAACCGACGTTCTGAAAGGACATGGTACATGAAGAAGAAGAGAATTTTTTTCTTATATCTTTCACATAATGGACAGATTCGAATGTATTTATAACGATCGAATCATTTTGTAATGTCCCTTTGTCCGCTTCCTCTCGATCGACGATGACAAATACAATAAAACGTTGAAGTTGTGGAGTAAAAAATTATGGTTTTATTGACAGCTACTAATAATTACACTACATACGTTGGTTAGGTATCTATCTATAATATACTGCAGATTTTACCAAGTTGAGTCATATTATTAAAAAAATGAAATTGACTCTTAATTCAAAAATGAAAGTGGTCTTTTAAATAATTTAGTATTCACTTTAAATTTACTATGAAATCGGGCGATATTAAACAGACGATAGAATCTATTGTTATTAATTGGATGACATTTATGATGACTTCATTATGATGACTAAATTTTGACGTTCGAGAATCGTTACGAATCGGATTTTAGTATCGATCTTTTATTTTTCTGTTTGTTTTACTATCTGTTATTGACACATATACTTTTAATTTTTTACTTTTCATCTAATGTATATTTGGTTAGTTATTTTTTATTTAGAATAAATATATAATGACTAGAAACGAATAGATCGAGAGTAGTGAACCGATGTTAAGAACCGTTACTTTGTGACGCTACTCGTGACGACGCCATCTTGGCGCTATGTCGGTGACGCTCTCCGCAGCATTTTACTATAGAGAAAGAAAAATAATACAACGCCAGTATAGAAGCTTCGCTTAAAAAGTTTTTGTACGTCACTAGAAGACCAAGAATAATTCAGAATGGTTATTACTAGACTTCGGCAAATATGCAAATAAAAATGTAGAAAATATGCGCATAAATATGCACGTGTTTACCCGAAAATATGCAAATATTTTACAAAATATGCATACAAATAAATAAAAAAATCGTAAAATAGTAACAATTTTATTTAAAAAAAAGTGTACATAACTAAATATTTCCTACTATTCATTAAGATTTACATTTATTTTAAGTAACTACATCATTTTTAAGTATGAATAAACTTATTTAGAATTATGGTAACAATAAATGACCAAGTGGTGTTCAAAATTTTCTAACAAAAACTTGTGGCTTCTGTCTGAGTACATATATTTATATATGGAAAAACTTCGTTCAACATCAACTGATGTAACGGGAGCATTTTTCAAACTAACCAAAACATTTGGTTCTAAATTAATTGTTTCTGAAATATTTCCAGCTAGAACACTGACTACTTCAGAAAGAATATGGTAACCTTTATTTTTTTCCATAATAGCTTCAATTTTTTTTAAAATCTCTTTTCCAATATTACCTCTAACATTCCGACAACATGACGCAAATTCTTTTATTAATGCTGTACTTTCGAACAATGACAGTTTTGGTGATTCTAACTGAGTAATTGTTTTTTGAACAAAACTAAAATTTGATTTTATAAATGAAAGTTCTTGTTGTAGCAAGTTACTCTGAAAAGTTTGTTTATAATCCAAAAGAGATTGGGAACTTTCATCTGTTAACGTATCAATTATGTTCTTTATTTTAACAAAATGATCTGCATAAAAATTAGCTGCTTCTAACCATGTTCCCCATCGCGTTAAAATAGGTTGTGGTGGAAGAGGAATGTTAGGTAGCATTTCTTTATAAATTTGAATTCTTATAGGAGATTTAAGAAATACTTTTTTGACACTGGATATCATGGTATTTACAAGAGGAAACTTTTTTCGTATTTCCTCTGCAACTCTGTTTAATCCATGCGCTACACAAGTAACATGTATTAAATCTGGGAAAAATATTTTTAAATTTTGTCCTGCTTTCACCATATAAGGAGCAGCATCCGATAAAATAAGCAGTAATTTATTAGAAGGAATAGTTGTCGGAAGAAAAAAAGTTGCTAATGTTTCTTGTATAAAACGCGAAATTGTTAAAGCATTTGTTTTCTCAAGTTGCTGACATGAAATAAGATGAGATTTTGGTAAGGTATCTTCTTTAAGAACACCAATCAATAAATGAGCAATATACTTTCCTGAGGAATCAGTGGTTTCGTCTACAGATATGTAAAAATAAATATCTGCAATTTTTTCCTTAATATTAATTAACACCGACGAGTATAGCCCGTTCACATTATTTCTTCTTAGAGACCGATCACTTGGAACATTAAGTTTGCAATATTTTTTTAGAAACGAACTAAAATTTACATTTGCTAATTTTGAAAGCGGTATGTTTGCAGACACTAATGCGCGACACAAGTCTTCATTAAAAGTTTCTTGCTCATCTAATTTTTTTGAAGTACATTGGAAACATTTAGCCATTGAAGTTTGATGTTTTCCTCCTATTTTTCCTTTTTTTGCAATGTGTGAAGCAGTTTTCACATGTTGGTCTATCTGAAATTTCTTCTCACATGCTATCTATAAATAAAAATAAAAACCTTTATTTTAACCCAACCTTTAAAATATAAAAATATACAAGGTGTTTTTGGTTAATCAAATAACTGGTTTGGAAAAAAAACATTCGCTAAGTGTTTTAAATGCAGTATTAATCCAAAAATTAGTTTTTGTTACTAACCATTAGTACATCATATAACTTATTTTAAAATTCAACAAAAGTTTTTTTTTTGGTAATTCAATTACAATAAAAATAATTGTGTTTTAGAATAGCTGACTTCATAAAAAAAGTAAAGGTGAAAAATTTTTCTAAATACACACCATTGTATTGTACCATGGACAATTTTTTCTGACTAAAGGAAGCTATTTTTCATTTAAAAACAACCTACGAGTACTAAATTTCAAGTAAATACGTTTATTGGTTTTAAAGTTATTGTTGTTATTAACTAAAAGAATTTAATTTTTTTTAATTTTAACACCTTGTATCTCGAAAAGTAAATAAGTTTGACCCCTCATTAACTATATCGTTTTGTTCAATTTTTCGAGAAGTATCTACAGTCAAACGTTGTAAGTGTCATTTGGAAACACCCTGTATGTATGAAATATTAGATATTTAATAGAAAATATTAGATACTTACAATTTTGCCACAGACTGAACAGTAGATTTTTCCCATATCCATAGACAGCTCTTTATAAGGTTTAATCCAAGTTGAAGCACTGGTTGTTTTAGGCATTATAAAATCACAATCTTCCTTTTTGTTACGCACAACGAGTGTTTACGCTTTGAATATCAAAATAAAAATGATTTACAAATCTGAGCATCAAATTAGAAATGTTTAGGTACCTAATTCAATAAACTGGGAGATTTTGGAAAATCCCTAAATTAGGAACAAAACTATTAGCCGTTTACCTGCTGTTAAGATACATTAAATTGTAGATAGATTTGGGGATTAGATCATAAAATGCAAATGAGCGAACCCTTAGCGATTATCCAATAACTGAATGCCTCAGTGACTGAGACTTTCTAAGAATGTTGAGGGCTACTTAAATTGATCTTCTTTGAAATTGTAAATGTTTTGTACCTGTAGAGATTACGTACTTAGATCATTTCTTGATTAAAATGACTACAAAATTTTATACAAGAATTGAAATAAATTGGTATGTTTAAAAATTTTCAAATACAGTATAAAAATCTGAACTTTTATGCACTTTATGCAAACTTTTATACAAATATGCCAAAATATGAAATATTTGCATACAATATGCACAATATGCAAAATATGCAATATGCATATTTGCCGAAGTCTAGTTATTACCATTTCCTGGAATTAAGTGTCTACATTTTTCGTACTCAACTATAGAAATCGATTTATTTGAGCGTTTTGCTTGTGTTAAAATAAATAAGTTGATGGGGGAGGAGGAGGTAATATTTATTCTTGTGCACTATTTTTTTAAACAATTTTTCGAAATATATTTCGCTATGTTTCGTTTTGGAATTAATACATGCCCATTTTTTTATATTTCAGGTGTGCTAACTGGAATATTCCCTGGCGGTAACAGTACTGGAAGTGACGCCTACGAAGACCTCGACAGACCTGTCATTCCTCAGAGTTCAGGAAAAACTGGCGGATATGATTTCTCTTCCGCTCAACAAATTTAAGTAATATTCTTTATATGATTTATCGTTTGCGTTTTTGGATTTTCAAATTACCTTAGCTGTATATATTTTTATAAAAACCTAATGAAATATAGGCAAGAAATATCCTAAATATATAAAAATGAGTTTTGTAGTGTAAGGATTGTATTTTATGGAAAATACGTTTTAAAATATTTTTCGATGTTGTATTTCTAGTCTACTTAATGACGGATTTTATTTCTTAATCATTATAGTCGAGTCAATGTACTATGAAAGTGCTGTAAACTTCTTAATCCTCGTATATAGGTCTGATTTTGATAATTTTTATTAAATAATATTAGTTTTTATGTATTATTTGAAATCGAAAATCATTTGAATATGTGCTGATACATGTTTTTATTTTATTAAAGTAAATATTTGAATCACAATCTATTCAGAAACTGTTGTTTAATGGTATTTGTTAAAATACCTCTAAACAGTGAAGAATTAAAAATTCCTGTTTAAATAATTGATGGATTCGACCGTTACTTGATGGAAATTCATTTTATGTAACAACAAAACACTGAAAACTTTGTTTTCAAACTTCCACAAAATTTATTTTAAATATTATCACTACAGCTGTTTCGGCTGATTGCCTTTCTCAAGTGATCTATTTTGGCTTGGGTTTACAAATTTATAGTCTCTAATGAAATAGGTTGAGGAGGGGAGAACTGTTTGTCTCAAGTTGGTCATTCAGAATTATATCTATGTTTTTTAATTTGTTGATTTCCATAGATTCTAACAAAGATAGCTTAAGGCCTTTATTTTGAATGTGAAGAATTTTAAATTTGTCATTAAAAGAATGATTATGATCTAGAAGGTGAAGTGCGTATGTCGAATCTGTTTTTCTATTCTTGAAAGCCCTTTTATGTTCTGCTATTCGTTTATCAAAGTTTCTACCAGTTTGACCGATGTAAGTTTTTGGGCAGTCGCCACATTCAAGTTTGTACACACCACTATTTAAGTGTTTTTTATTTTGGCTCTTGTTATTTTTAATATATTTGCCTAGGTTGTTATTTGTTCGGAAAGCTGGTGTTATTCCTTTCTTTTTTATGTGTTTGGCAATTTTTGTTGTTATTTTGCCTGTATATGTAATCGAGCAGAAGGTACTGAGTTTTTTCTCTGGTGGTGGAAATACTAATTTCAGGGCTTTCTTGTGTAGTTTTTGATTTAACATTTTATTAATTGTTTGTTCGTTGTATCCGTTGTTTACTGCTATCTGCTTAATTATATTTAATTCTGTCTCAAAGTTGTATTTTGACATCGGAATTTCTGTTATTCTATGTAACATATCAGCTTATCATAGTATGTTACATAGATTAACAGAAATTCCGATGTCAAAATACAACTTTGAGTCAGAACTAAATATAATTAAGCAGATAGCAGTAAACAACGGATACAACGAACAAACAATTAATAAAATGTTAAATCAAAAACTACACAAGAAAGCCCTGAAATTAGTATTTCCACCACCAGAGAAAAAACTCAGTATCTTCTGCTCGATTACATATACAGGCAAAATAACAACAAAAATTGCCAAACACATAAAAAAGAAAGGAATAACACCAGCTTTCCGAACAAATAACAACCTAGGCAAATGTATTAAAAATAACAAGAGCCAAAATAAAAAACACTTAAATAGTGGTGTGTACAAACTTGAATGTGGCTACTGCCCAAAAACTTACATCGGTCAAACTGGTAGAAACTTTGATAAACGAATAGCAGAACATAAAAGGGCTTTCAAGAATAGAAAAACAGATTCGACATACGCACTTCACCTTCTAGATCATAATCATTCTTTTAATGACAAATTTAAAATTCTTCACATTCAAAATAAAGGCCTTAAGCTATCTTTGTTAGAATCTATGGAAATCAACAAATTAAAAAACATAGATATAATTCTGAATGACCAACTTGAGACAAACAGTTCTCCCCTCCTCAACCTATTTCATTAGAGACTATAAATTTGTAAACCCAAGCCAAAATAGATCACTTGAGAAAGGCAATCAGCCGAAACTGATTAAACTTAAACATTTTAATATTTAAAATAAATTTTATGGAAGTTTGAAAACAAAGTTTTCAGTGTTTTATTGTTACAAATTCCTGTTTATTTTTATTCTTTAGTTTTTAAAACAAAACTGGCAAATTACAGTTTCAATTATTCAAATATAAATAATTTAGTAAATAAACAATTCAATAAGCTTAGATCAACATTCACTGCATCTAAATTACAATTAATAGACCAATAAACGTAGTATGGAAGGATCCATCCGAATTCTTTAAAGTAATGGAACCCTTTGTCTTTCTCTATATCGGGACTTCGGTGCCCTTTGACCTATTGGTCGCAACTTCAGTAAGATTTTTCCTTAAAGAAAAAAAGAAAGGAATGGATCAAATTTCAAGATTCTAATACTTTTCCTTGAAGAGTTATCGCACAGACATACAGATTAATACGATGTCTTAAAGGTCCTGATGGATTCTTAATAATATATTACTCTCTATAATTCAACTTCCACTGTAGATACGTTGAAAAAGTTAAGCCTACCTGTTGAAAATTCTATTGCCTATAAGTAGTCTATTATTTATTATCACAACGCGATTTTGATCGGCAAAAAATAGATTGATATAAGGTTGAATGCTCGAATAAATGAACTTTAAAAAATGAAAGGCAAATATCGAACACAATTTTAACAATTGAATCTTGCAATCTTAAGTACTTTCGCTTAATACAGCATCTTCAGGGGCATCTGAAATAAGCCAAAAAACGTTTTTTTTTTAAATGAAGGAAATTAATTAACTTCGATAAAAACTCGAAGTTAATGGATAATAAAACGTTGATCACAAAAAACTTATTATCCATTAACTTCAAGTTTTTATCGAAGTTAATTAATTTCCTTCATTTAATAAAACGTTTTTTGGCTTATTTCAGATGCCCCTGAAGATGCTGTATTAAGCGAAAGTACTTGGGCAATATTTAATTGTTAAAATTGTACTCGATATTTGCCTTTCATTTTTCAAAAAAAATAGATTGACGGAAGGAATGGAAAGTATTTTATTGTGATTAGGGAGAGCTCTCTACGTTGAAGTTAAGCAGGTGCCGCCACCTCTATGTTGAGATAAACGGGGCGTTTTTCGATTTCAATGGCTTCTCGGATGATTCATGGTTTGTAAAAACGAAAAGGAGTAAGAGTTGTGGAATTTCCCAAATATATTTTGTGACCTGTTTAGAGATAATGCTGTGCTAGTGGAGTAATGGTAGTGGGAATTGCTGGCTTAAACTAAGTATGCATAAATTTATCTTCTCCATCGTTAATTTCTGTCTTACCTCAGCATTAGCTACACACAAGTTGTTAAATAGATTTTTGAATTATTGTCTCTTCTCTGCCTCTCCCCCTCACCCCGTTTTCACATATTTGTGAAACACATAATGTTTTCACATTCACGATCTTTGGGATCAATTTCGTAGAATAATTTATTCCCGTATTTATCTATTCTACTCATTAAAATGTTTTTATTTCAACTAATACACAAAAACGTATATTAAAAAGCAATTTTAAGGATTTAGATGCTGCATTGACCCGACTATAGAAGTACTATAATAATATAAGATTTATGTAATGTAGAGTAACTGAAGAATCTCAAATTACGGTTTTCCCGACAAGTTGAGTCATATAAAACAAGTTATTTTCATACATTTCAATGTATCTTACTGTGAACTAAATTTTAAAGTATAATATAAATCTGCATTGCAGGATCCAGTACGATTTTTTGTTGAACGCAGAAAAACCACAAGTTTGAATGCAATTTTATTGTTCCTTTTTAAAACACAGCTAAGTAATTATACACTGACCGGCAAAAAAGTGGCCACCCTATAAATTTCCGAAAATAAAAATTCATTGGAAGTTTTATGCAATCTTTCATATTGTATTCTTAACATCTTTTATTTTTAAAACAAAAAATGGCCATTACTATTTGATTTCTTAGCATAATTTATTTAATTAGAAGGTTACAAAAGAAAATAGTTTGCATACGATTTGGAAGGGAAAGGAAAAAATTTTGAATAAAAACTTAAGGAATACGTTCATATTCCTCACGAAGCATGTTTTGAAGTTCTGCAAGACTTTCTGGCTGGCCTGGTTGACTTATAACCCTACAATGAAGTTCATCCCAAAGATGTTTGATGATATTCAGATCGGGGCTGCAGGTTGGCCGTTCTAGAATCTTAATTCCAAATTTCCCCAAGTAATATGTCAGGATTCTTGCAGTATGCTGCCGTGCATTATCATGCATAAAGACGAAATTGTCCCCAATAAAAGAACCAAATGAAACTACTGCTTCTGTCAAAACATTATCTATATACCAGTGAGTATTCAGGGAGCCATTGATGAAAATAAGTACATTTCGAGCTTCAAGTGAGATTCCAGCCCAAACCATGACACCAACACCGCCAAACTTTATTCTCTGGTACATACAAGCTTGGCAAAGCAAAATAATCGATTCCTACAGTGTCTGGGTTGTAATTCGGCTATATTTTGTTGTGCTAATGCGAGATATTAAATTATTATTATTCTCATTCATTTTTTAATATACTCTCCTTTTTGCTGAATGCACTTGAAAACAAGCATTTCATACTTTTCTGAAAAGTAATTTTGGTCGAGCTCTTCAAAACAGTGTGCAGTTTTGGCTAGGATACCATCATTATTCATTTATTACCACGTCACACAGGGCTAAATCTGGCGAGTTCGGTGGGTGATTGGTTTTGGTGGAGACAAACCACAGACTTTTTCCCAAATTCGGCAGCAAAAGATTGTGTAGTACAAACAAGTTATTGATATACCGGTCTTTTCGCTATATCATATGATATATGCTTTATCTATAATTCTGTGCTGCTTTTTTGTCCACTGTTCTCACTGTTTCTTCTACTAGAGCTTGTACAGCTGGACCTATATTTTATGAAAAGTTACGCTACTGTGAAAAAACCTTCCTATTGGTCGGAAGAATGGTGTTAATACTATTGCTTTTGTTTGTGCGAAAGTTTGATCGTTGAATAATGCCCAGGCGTCAAAATAGACTGTAAGAGTTTAAAAACACTTCCCCGAACGATTTAATGACAGTGCAAATCAGTATAATCTATTTTTATTTTAGTTCTGTTGGTTTTCTTATTTATACAATGTATTGCGTTTAATATTCCGAAAAGTTTATTAAAAATTCATCTGAACGTAGTACACTAATGTTAAAAGAAAATAAGAAAAATACTAAATTAAGACGTAAATGATTTTTTTCCGGTT